GGTTCAATCCCTGGGCTGGGAAGATCACCTAGAGAAGGGCATGGCTTCCCAGTATTTTTGCTTGGAGAAGCCCTATGGACAGAGGATCCTTACAGTCCATGGGGTCACAAGGTGTCGGCCACAACTGAGGGACTAACCACAGCACACAAGCATCCTACTACAGCAAGCAAGCGCCATCTCCTCTGCACATCCCCTTGACTCCCCATGCCCGCCGGATCCGGCTGCTTGTGGCTCCTCTGAAAGCAGGTGAGGCAGCACCTGAGTCTCCTATGGAGGCCACAGGGGACACCTCTCAATCCCAGGCCTGAGCTCGCCCAGCACGGCAAGGCACATGCCTGGTCTGTCCACGGAAGACGATGGCTCGCTTGTAAGGTCGGTGTGTGAGTTCAGCACCCAGTCCAGCCACCGGAGAGGTGCCAGGACACACCAACGGCAGGAAGACCTGGTCACCCTTTGAGGACAGTAAGGGGACCAGCATGCTCAAATGGCTGCACCCAGCAGACCCCCAGAGGCATCATCCACATCCAGGGAGCAGGGAGGTGAATGGGACAGAGGTCTGGCTGGAGTGCAAGGTGGGGAACACACGAATCCTCCACGGCCACAAGAAGGAGATGTCAGTAGGTCCTGTGGTCCTCACAACTCCCGGGGCTGGAGTCTAGGCCATCACCACTCCATGGGAGTGCAGTTACCTCTGGGCAGTACCAACCAGCAGGACAGCTTCATGATGACACCTGAGGGACCCAGGCACTCGTCCCTGGCTGATGGGGACTCAGGCCCCGTGGTATCTCTTTAGGACTCTCTCATGCAAGTACTCCAGAAAGGTCAAGAGCTGACACCTCCATGATGCAAAATGTCTCCCGCACTGGGCACAGGCCAGGACACAAATGCAGGAAACAGGAGCTCCAGGTGGAATCCCCCGGAGGCAGGGCCCAACCCTGTAACAAGCAGCTTTCTGTGGGGAGGAGGGAACACACAGCACCTGAGACCTGTATCCCTTGGATGCAGGGGCCTGCTGACGGGAGGGGGCAGTACTGACCAAGGGGGCCAAAAACCAAGGTTCCTTCCAAGTTCTCGAGGAAGATGCTTAAGCAGGTGGTCCAAGAAAGGCCAACAGGCCATCTCCCACGAGGCTTCTGGACACTGGCCGAAAGCTGGGGTGGCTGCATTTTCTCTGCTCCAAGGCCCCGCCCATGGCTTGGAGGCATCAGCAGGTGAAAGAGGGTGCCTGGGTCACCCGGGACCATGTCAGGGATCCACACCTATCCTTCCATGGCAACCCAGAGTCAACCAGAAGCTCCAGCTATCCCATGCACTGTCTGACAGGATAGGGTCTGGGAGGGGCCAGAGCTAGCCACACAGTCGTGGGAAATGTGAGTTAAAGTCAGTGGTTCTAGGTCCCTGTTGCCACTGTAACATGTCCTAGTGCCAGAAATAAACGTTCATTCAAAATAAAACAGAAGGGGAGGTAATACTTTAAAATGCTCCCCGCCCCGAGCTCTGAACATCTGGAGAATTCAGGAGGTGAAACACATCGCTGCCCTTCACTGTGACGTGAACACACATTGCTCTTTCCGCAAAGCTCTTTCAAAACTAAATTCTAGAAGGAAACTGGAAGTCATGGGGATCTTACATCCTCCAAGTCAGATTTATTAGGTCCAAAAATGTAGCCTTTCCTTCCCTTGGCAGGGAACCCTGGAAAAAGCGAACGGGTGACACTGTCTCAGTTCTGGGGGAGGCAGGCAGGTGCCAACATCTCCCACGACCCAAGGTTGAGAGGAGGAAACAGACTTTTGAGGGGTGATTTTCAGGGCGTTCCAAGGCTGCCTGCTGAGGAGCCTATGGGGACTGGGGAAGGGAGGATTGGAGAGCAGGAGGAATCCTGCAAAGCTCCCCGCACTGAAGGCAATGCTCCCGGCAACGCACCCTCCACTGGGAGCCCTAATGCCGGGGAATTCTGGGTGATGGGTGGAAGATGAACGTCTCCACCCTGTGCACTCAGAAGCCCCTTCCCCACACACAAAGCCAGCAGGCCACTTGTCACCCTCCCTGGTGCTTGGTGATCTAAGAGGACTGACTCGGCACCCTGCCCTCCACCCTTCTCTCCTCTCCTAAGGACAGCTGGTGGCCTCTTCCCAAGATGCTGCCATCCCTTCTATCATCTGGATCCTCACAGGTGACCTTGGTGGGCGCTCAACAGTCAAATGGGGGAGACAGCAGCCTCCTGTTTAGTAAAGAAGAGAGTACACACAGCAGACGCCTGGCTGCCCTAAGCTGGGTCCCAGCCCCATTTGGTATAAAACCCTTTCAGACCCGCCCAGCAGAAGGCAGCTGAACCCAAATGCTGCACCATCAGCCCTCTTGTTAGGGGAGATACAGGAACACTTTTCTGGCTGGCATGGGGCCTCCAGTAATTACTGTAGAAGAAGCAAAACCAGACAGTAGAAGCCAAATCTCCCACCTTCCCACTCCCACCAAAAGGACAGGAGGAAAGGCCTCCTGGATAGGTACACTCTGGTGCCGCTCTGCTCAGGGACCCAGAGGCAGAACAGCTTGCCTTGCCTTAAAGGGAATGGGAATTAACAACCTCCTCCAAGGGTCACATGAGCCTGCAGCGCCTCAACCAGATCAGCTGGGCTTTGCTGCTGAGGTCTAACTCAGCTCCTGCCTGCTGCAGCACCCCCACTCCTGTCCTCTACCCTGCAGAGGCATTCCGTGGCAGAGCACCAGTGGGTGCTTGGAGCACCACACCAGGCCACTTGGCAAGAGTAAGAGGGGAGGGAGGGAAGGCACATGACTGCACTCTAGAATCAGGAATCCTTCTTCCTCTCCCATCTTCCCTTTCCGGGTCCCCTCTCTCCTGTGTGTTCACACACAGCAGTGATGCCCAGCTCATGACTGTGCCATCCCAGCACACCATCCCGCGGGCCCCAGACCACAGACCACTGAGGCTAGCCCTCAGCAGGGCCCAGAATCTGCAGCCCTGAGGGAGAGGAGCTCTCTGAGGGTCTCAATAGGACACCTCTGGCTTCACCATGAAAAATCTGTATTTCCACAGAAGAACCAAGGAGCTGTGGGGAGGGGTGTCTCCCAAGCTCTTTTGTCAGGAGAAAGGCTGAGGACAGGTGGACACTGGACACATTAGCCAGCTCACACATACACACACACACAGGCCACCCTGCAGGGGCCCAGAGGACAAAACAACCAAATCCCATTTCTGAGCCAAAAAGGAAAGCTGCCTGCAGTGTGGCAGGCAGCCTGCGTCAGGACTGGCAGGCCCAGCTATTATAACTTTACAGGGTGCTGAGGCAGGCTTACACCGCACGGCCAGCTCTCGCATAGGCCAGCCCAGTGCCTGACAGCTGTTCCCCCAAACAAGGGAGGGCCCATAAACACCCACTGTGACAGGCGCTGCCCGAGCTTCCAGGACTGGCCCAGGGCAGCTTGAGTTACCATTTATATAATCTTCTAGGGCTGGGGCTGACACAGCCAGCGGGAGGGCAAGGTTATGAAAAATGCATGTCCAGAGCCTTTACATCCACAAAAACCAAAGCCAAACCAAACCAAACCCCACCTGCATTTTGCCTGACTTGACTTTAGGGCTTCTCACACATTCATTTCGTGAACTAACTAGTGACAACAGCTCCAGGTTTTGCCCCCCAGGCCTCAATGTAAACAGACCCCAGGTCAAAGGAAGCCCCTCAGACATCTGCAACTAGGGCATCTACACTTTGCAAGATACAGGAAGCTGTTCATTTAAGAGCAGCCGAGAGTCCCCCAAACCACCCTGTGACCACCTGGACCCAGGGCTCCGGAGCACCCACACCAAGTTAGCCAAGCCCCCACCTGTGTCAGCCCAGCCCAGAAGAGCAGCACTACCACACACGCGTGTGTTAGACACGCCCTCCAAGCGCCCACTCTCCATCATGGGCTCACATCATGCCACACTCACACACCACACACTGGGAGGTCTGACCTCCATCACCCAAACCTTCCCCGCACAGACCGCCAGCACAACCACCCACCCACACAGAGGGTGACAGACGGCGGCCGCCAGGGTTGGCTTAAGCCAGGCAGGCGCCATGCCGGAACTGCACTCTCCCACCACCCACCTGCGGGCAGCGCATCCCTCACCTGCAGCTCGCACCAGGCTACCTCCACCCAGGTCTCCGTATCCAGCCCCTTATAGACCGTCTTGAAGGAGCCGCGACCAAGCTCAATGTCAAACTTGAGGAACCGGCCATCCAGGGAGGTGGCCACCGCCTTCAGGTCGTCCTCATCGTCTTCCTCCTCCTCGGGCTCCTCCCGGCGTGAGCGCCCGAGCTCCGGCCTGGCCTCGGGAGCCCCCGCGTCCTCCTTCCTCGTGGCCGCTACCTCTTCACGGGGACCGCCGTCGGGGGCGGGCACGGGAGCGGGCGAGGGGTCCGGGCCGGGTTCCTGCGCTCCCGCCGGCTCCAGGCCGGGGTCGGCAAGGTTGCTCGGCGGCGCAGCAGGCGCGGCAGGCGCTGGGGCGGCCGGGCGACCTCGGGCGCGCTCGGCGATGAGGCGGCGCGTCTTGCATAGCAGCAGCACCCTGCGCTGCAGCGGCTGCGGGGGCTGCGCGCCCGGCGCCTCGGCAGCCTCCAGGCCCGGCGGCTCCTCCTGATCAGACTCCACCACGCTGCGCCGCAGGAAGCGCTGGGGCCCCGGCCGCGCCGCCCGGACCCGCGGCACCGCCGCGGGCTCCGCCATCGCCGCCGGCCCCGCACCGCGCCCGGCCTCCATCAGTGCGCCCGCGGCGTTTCGGCGGCCGCCATCGTCGTCCATCTCTGCGGGCAAGGACACACAGGGCCGTGTGAGTGCGGGCCTCGCCGCACCTGCCAGGGCCGCGGGATGAAACAGCACCGCCCCGGAGTCCGCACCCTGCCCTCCCTGGCCGCGGGGAGACCTGCCGAGCTGTCCGTGGGGAGTGGCTGCAGACCCGACCCGGAGGCCGGGTTGGGTGGGAGGGGGCCGTGCCCTGCTCAGGCCTGGGCCGCGGAGGAGCCCTGCAGGGCTGTCTCGGGGGGGATCGAGGGAGGCTGCAGAGGGGACCGGGAGGCCGAGGAGAGCACACCTGTGCCCTGCCCAACCCGGGGAAAGGGGCCTATTGGGATGTCCCTGGGAGGTGGAGATGGTGAAGACGGGACCGGGAGGCCCGGGCTGGGGGAGTGGGGGCGCCGTGCCCTGCTCAACCCTGGGCTGGGGAGGGGTGAAGGAGATTGGGGAAGAAGGAGGTACTGGCCAGGCGGCGGCTCCACAAAGGACGCGGCCCGGGGCGCAGGAGGGGCGCGCGGGGAGGGGGCTGCGGCGACGCGGCGCGCACACAAAGGCAGCGGGCGGGGGGCTCTGCACTCACAGGGCGAACGGGCGCCGTCCATGCCCGCGGCCCGGCAGCAGGGGCGGGGGAGGCCGTTCTTAGGGCCGGGATCCGCGCTCGGTCTGGGTAGCTCTCAGGGCCAGGGTCCGCGCTCCAGACCCGGGTCACCCTCGGCACCAGGTCGCGACGCTACTCCCTCTGGCCGGCCCGCTCCGGGGCCGCGCTCCCGCGTGCTGCTCCGGCTCCGCGCGGCTGCGCTCCGGCACGGGATCCGACCCGGCGCTCGAGGAGGGCGGGGCATTCGGCTGCCCGCCCCCGGCCGGCGAGGCGGGGCGGGGCCTGGCACGCCCACCTGTCCTCGGGTGCGCGCGGCCACCTGCAGGCCAGCCCCCGGGGCCGCGCAGGCCTACTGCAGCCCTCTTGTTCCCCCTCCAGGGGGCACTGCTGGCCTCTGAGGATCTTTGGAATGCCCCACCGGACTGCTGGCCGCGAAAGGTCTGTTATCCCCTCTCCAGAAACGGCTTGACCATCCTAGTTTGTCCGCCTTTTGGAAAGGCTGCCGATTTCATTAAGATTCAATCAGTCTAGGGAGACATCCTGAGTTACAAGCCTATCCGTTTCAAGCCTGTCCATGACGGACGAGCCTAGGCCTATCAAGGAGTGAAGCTAAGCATATTCCAGACAGATGCATGCAAGCCAGTCTGGCTTCCTCCGTGCTCCCTAGGACATGCTGGTGGCATGTGGGCATCATGCCTGCCCGGTGATGGAGGAGATGACAGGCAATTCATGTCATCGCTGGCAGACCGCTGCCCACCCACACCTGGCAGATGGAGATAATATGGCAGCAAGAATCCCGCACATCGAAGGGGCAACCTAGATGCTGGGGGATCGAAGAGAACCTGTCCCTGACCGAGTGCTCTGTGCTTGCTCTCTGCACCCTTAAGTGTAGTTTGGGGCAGCCCTGCTTGCCTGACTCCTGTGATAGGGAGCTCACTCTCTCTGCTGACCCGTGACCCATGAGTACACAGCTAAGCAGCTAGTGGACAGGTTGCAGTTTGTTCATCCATGAGATGAACACAATGGTTAGTGCCCAGTTGGTGTTCAACAATGCTTACAGAAGTAGGGGGGAATGGAGACAAGGCCTACCCTCTGCCTTTGCTCCAACCAGTTCCCAGCACAGCCCACTGGTAGGAAGGTCAGGGTCTGGCTTTGCCCCCAGGGAGCCCAGTCAAGAGGTACTTTTGAGGGTGGGCCCGCCTTTAAGTGGGCTCAGACAGCCTGGGGTCAGTCCAGTGGTCAGAACCAGTGCAGCCAGTCCGCTTCCCTGAGTGCCCCCCACAGCCTACTGCATGGGGAGGTGGTCCCTCACTTGATGACTATGTGGGGTCCACCCCAGACACAGGTGAAATAGTGGAGAGCCAGATCCCATAAGGGGATGGGGCAAATGGGGGGACTGTGCCAGGAGAGCAGAGTTGGGGTGATGGAGGCAGGGCAGACTTCTCAGGAACTGAAGGAAGGGTGCTGGGACAGGCAGATGGAGTCAGGGCATATGGGACTCCCAAGCTTGGGCTCTGAGGCCCTGGAGCCTCCTGTGACTGAGGGCAAATGATGGGGCGCCTGGGGCTCCGGGGCTCTGGCTCCTTGGAGAAGTCTTCCCATCCAGTGGGGGCCAAGCAGGTCTATAATGCATCATTTTCTTCTTTTATAGTAAGATGATACAACATTTCTTTTACTCCCAAACTAGAAAATATGTGTTGGTTTTTTAAAATAACAACTTTATTGGGATATATGTTAGTTACCATGAAATTCACTCTTCTAGAGTGTATAAGTCAGTGATTTTTACTATGTTCACAGAGTTGTGTGGCCATCACCACTGTTTAATTACAGAACATTTTTATCACCTCCAAAAGAAACCCATGCCCATTAGCAGTCACTCCGCATTACCCCTCTCTCAGTCCCCAGCTAGCAGTGATCTACTTCCTATCTCTATAGATTTGCTAATTCATAACATCACATATGAGCTTTCCTGGTGACTCAAGTAGTAAAGAATCTGTCTGCTAATGCCAGAGACACAAGTTCTGTCCCTGGATCAGGAAGATCCCTTGGAGACAGAAATGGCAACCCACTGCAGTGTTCTTGCCTGGAAGATCCCATGGACAGAGGAGCCTGATGGGCTACAGTTCATGGGGCCGCAAAAAAGTCAGACATGACTTAGCAACTAAATAACTGCACCATCACATAGAAATGGAATCATACGACAGTTCTTTGTGACTGGCTTCTTCCATTCAGCATAGTGTTTCACTTCATCTGTGTTGTAGCATGTATCAGTACGTCACTCCTTTCTGTGGTCAAATAATATTCTGTTGTAGAGGACTTCTGTGGTGGTACAGTGGATAAGAATCTGCCTGCCAGTGCAGGGGACATAGGTTCGATCCCTGGCCTGGGAAGGTTCATCATACTCACTGCAACTAAAGAGTGAGCATTCAAGCCTGCAGGCAGCAATGAAGACTCAGTGCAACCAAAAATATAATTAATTAATTTTTAAAATATTCTGTTGTAGAGAATAAGAGCATTTGCTCATTAAAATTTTGTGAGATAGAAAAAGTAGAAATAAAAACCCTTTGAGGTTTTTAAGTTGTTACCCAAGTGTGACTTTTTCACTCTCCTCTTTCACCTTCATTAAGAGGATTTTTAGTTCCTCTTTACTTTCTGCCATTAAAGTGATGCCATCTGCATATCTGAGATTGTTGATATTTCTCCCAGCAATCTTGATTCCAGCTTGTGATTCATCCAGCCCAGGATTTTGCATGATGTACTCTGCATGTAAATTAAATAAGCAGGGTGACAATATACAGCCTTGACACACTCCTTTCCCAATTTTGAACCAATCCATTGTTCCACCTCCAGTACTAACTGTTGCTTCTTGTCCTGCATACAGGTTTCTCAGGAGGAAGGTAAGGTGGTTGGGTATTCCCACCTCTTTAAAAAATTTCCACAGTTTGTTGTGATCAACACAGTCAAAGGCTTTAGTGCTGTCAATGAAGCAGAAGTAGATTTTTTTTTTTTGGCTCCCAGCCTTGTCGTTGCCACTGGCCACCCAGGGGCCAATCCACTGCCCAGGAGCCTTGAGGTTTTCCAATAGTCATGTATGAATGTGAGAGTTAGACCATAAAGAAGGCTGAGCACTGAAGAATTGATACTTTCGAATTGTGGAGTTGGAGAAGACTCTTGAGAGTCCCTTGGACTGTAAGGAGATCAAACCAGTCAATCCTAAAAGATATCAACCCTGAATATTCATTGCAAGGACTGATGCTGTAGCTGAAGCTCCAATACTTTGGCCACCTGATGCAAAGAGCCAGCTCATTAGAAAAGACCCTGATACTGGGAAAGATTGAGGGCAGGAGGAGAAGGGGACGACAGAGGATAAGATAGTTAGATGGCATCACTGACTCAATGGACATGAGTTTGAGCAAACTCACGGAGCTAGTGAAAGATAGGGAAGCCTCAGTTCAGTTCAGTTCAGTCGCTCAGTCATGTCCAACTCTTTGCGACCCATGGACTGCAGCCCTCCAGGCTTCCCTGTCCAGCATTAACTCCCGGAAGGGAAGGGAAGTACACGGGGAAGCCTGGTGTACTACAGTTCATGGGTTCACAGAGAGTCGGACATGACTTGGGAGCTGAATAATAACAAGTATGACTTCCACTGCACCACCCTTAGCAGGCACATCTTTCCATGTGCAGCTGTCCACTCAGGAGATGCTCAGCAGGCTTGCATCAAATAACTGAATAATGATTCAAACTTTTTTCCCCTATGCAGTGAGTTACTTAAAGTTATTTAACTTTACTCAGCTTGGCTCATACCAGATGCTACGTTATATATCCTTGTTGGTTCAGTCCAGAGAACACGGCTTTAGCCTTCAGATATCCTGACTGTGCAAATGTTTGAAATCCTCTCCCCATGACCCTGCTGTGAAGTGAGGCTGCCTCCAGGTGTGGGAGATGCTGTCAACCCTCAGTCTCCCCCCAGGGACCATTCCCAAACTGCACAGCTTAGTTCCTGACCCCACCGCTTTTTTTTTTTATGGATTCAACTTTTAGAAACAGTTTATTTCCATTTTATGGTTAAGACTCTGAAGAAGAACAGCTAAGACCATTCAATGATCATTCCTACCCATTCAGTGGCCTGAGCTGTGGGAGTGCAGATCAGTCTCAGTGGGGAATTACTAGGTGGGCACAGATCCTGCACACCTTCAGACCAGCTTTCAGCCTCGGCAGGAGTTGTGGTAAATTCCAGAGCTGAAGCAGTACCTTCACCCTAACCATCATCCTTGGTCACAGCCTGCCCTTCATTCTCAGCCTTTGGTGGAAGTAGAAGGAGTGTGGCACAACTCCTGGTTGCACAAAAGAGATGATGCTTGGGTCCCCCACCTAAGACCCACTGAACGAGCCCTCTTCTAGGGTCTCAGAGCAGGATTGACTTCGGTTTGCAAAGAGAAGGTCTGCATGGTTCTAGAGACCTGCATGGACCATGAAATATGGAAATGGGCAGAAGAAAACACAGGCTATTTTCCATGTTTTTGTCTCTCCTAAAGCCCCAGGAATTTGAACCAGGGGTCTTGAGTAACATTGTTGTCGTTCAGTCGCTAAGTCATGTTTGGCTTTTTTTGACCCCATGAACTGCAGTGTGCCAGACTTCCCTGTCCTTCACTATCTCCCTGAGTTTGCTCAAACTCATGTCCATTGAGTCAGTGATGTCATCCAACCATCTCATCCTCTGCTGACCTCTACTCTTTTTTTTTCCATTTATTTTTATTAGTTGGAGTCTAATTACTTTATAATATTGTAGTGGTTTTTGCCATACATTGACATGATCAGCCATGGATTTACATATGTTCCCCATCCTGAACCTCCCTTCCCACCTCCCTCCCCATCTCATCCCTCTGGGTCATCCCAGTGCACCAGCCCCGAGCACTTGTCTCATGAATCCAACCTGGACTGGCGATCTGTTTCACATGTGATAATATACATGTTTCAATGCTGTTCTCTCAGATCATCGCACCCTCGCCTTCTCCCATAGAGTCCAAAAGTCTGTTCTATACATCTGTGTCTCTTTTTCTGTCTTGCATATAGGGTTATCGTTACCATCTTTCTAAATTCCGTATATATGCGTTAGTATACTGTATTGGTGTTTGTCTTTTTTGGCTTACTTCACTCTATATAATGGGCTCCAGTTTTATCCATCTCATTAGAACTGATTCAAATGAATTCTTTTTAATGGTTGAGTAATAGCCCATTGTGTATATGTACCATAGCTTCCTTATCCATTCATCTGCTGATGGGCATCTAGGTTGCTTCCATGTCCTGGCAATTATAAACAGTGCTGCGATGAACACTGGGGTGCATGTGTCTCTTTCAGATCTGGTTTCCTCGGTGTGTATGCCCAGGAGTGGGATTGCTGGGTCATATGGCAGTTCTATTTCCAGTTTTTTAAGGAATCTCCACACTGTTCTCCATAGCGGCTGTACTAGTTTGCATTCCCACCAACAGTGTAAGAGGGTTCCCTTTTCTCCACACCCTCTCCAGCATTTATTGCTTGTAGACTTTGGGATAGCAGCCATCCTGACTGGTATGAAATGGTACCTCGTTGATGACCTCTACTCTTTTGCTGTCAATCTTTCCCAGCATCCAGGTCTTTTCTAAGGAGTCAGTTCTTCACATCAGGTGGTCAAAGTATTAGAGTTTCAGCTTTGGTCCTTCCAATGAATATTCAGGGTTGCTTTCCTTTAGGATAGACTGGTTTGAGCCCCAAGGGGCTCTCAAGAGTTTCTTCTCCAGCACCACAGTTTGAAAACATCAATTCTTCTGTGCTCAGTGTTCTTAATGGTCCAGCTCTCACATCTGTACTTGACTACTGGAAATGCCATGGCTTTGACTATATGGACCTTTGTCAGCAAAATGATGTCTTTGCTTTTTAATATATTCCCTAGGTTTGCCATGGCTTTCCTTCCAAGAAGCAAGCATCTTCTAATCTCATGGCTTCAGTCACCATCCACAGGGATTTTGGAGCCCAAGGAAATAAAGTCTGTCACTGTTTCCATTTTTCCCCATCTGTTTGCTATGAAGTGATGGGACTGGATGAAACGATCTTCATTTTTTGAATGCTGAGTTTTAAGCCAGCTTTTTCACTCTTCTTCTTCACCCTCATCAAGAGGCTCTTTAGTTCCTCTTCACTTTCTGCCATAGCCTGAGTACCTGATAGCCATGGAAAATAGGGCTGAGTCACTGAACCCAGTGGGTGGTGGGGCCTAAAGTAAGTCCTGCTGCGGCAGTAATGATAATGTCGATGATCCCCAGTGCTGAGCTAAGTTTGCAGGAATTCTCTTGTCTTGCCCCACACTGTCCTAGAGGGCCCTGTTATCAGATTGGAAGCACTAGAGAGGCAGAGTCTTGCCTCAGTTTGTAGACTGCAGGCAGTAGACCTGGAGGTGAACCAGCTCACACCTCACTGTGAGCTGCCTCTC